GCTGGTCTAGCCCGTCGCGGCCTGCTACTGGCTTCAGGGGATCTCAACCAGGGATACCCACCAGGAGGATGCGCCAAGGGGGTCCTCCCTAGCTGAGCTCAGTGGGCTGTCGAGGGATCACGGGACTTTCGATAAGAGATGCGATAAGCCAACTGGGACACACCTGAACTGCAGTTGGGATCGTGCCAGAATACCGCCTCTTCTTGCAGGTCTTGAAATTGAAACTGAATGTGTGTGAAACATAAGCACCAGTGCGGTAATAGCTGGTGCCAAGGCCGGATTGGAACTCAAGATTATGTTGAGCCTCGATCTGTTGTTCGAATTGAGGGTCGGTGAACCGTAGTCGGTGTAGGCATCGCGCTCTTCGGTGAGGCTGCGCGTGAGAGTCATTCGCCTGGGGCCGTGGGTATCCGCCCGCCGATGAACGGAGACTCTCGGCGGGGTTGTCCTCCCGGTCACTCAACCTATTGGATCATCCACATCCGACATTCTACTCCCCGCGATACGTTCTTATTAGCGACGCCATTGCAAACGACCCCTCACCCGGAATTGATCTTCTCCATGTCCTCATTCCTCACCAGATCACTTCTCACCCATACTACGCCTCGAGCACTTCGACGCCTCACGCCTAGCCTACAACTCATTGCCAATCGCCAAAGAATTTCACGCCGCAACAGTACAATGTCTGGAGCCGTTAATGTCTACACGAAGGACGCCCCCTTCCGTACGCCCGTTGCCCACCTCATGATCGGTGAATAGCTGAGCTGACATCCTGATAGCCTTGGGCCCTTACGTATGCTCCGATACGTGCTACAATGACCACTGTGCCTGATATTGATTACGTTTTGCAGTCCCAGGCCGTCAAGACCCCCACGGCCATCTACCTGTCCGGCTCTATCCCTCTGACCGCCGACGGCAAGTTCGTCGAGGGCACCATCGCCGAGAAGACGAGACAGTGCATCCTCAACCTCAAGGCCATTGTTGAGGAGGCTGGCTCGTCCGTTGAGAAGATCGTCAAGGTCAACATCTTCCTTGCTGACATGGACAACTTCGCTGTATGTATCCTTACAGCCCAACCTGAAAGTTTAACTGTCCGGACACCATTACTGACGGACCCAGGAAATGAACGGCGAGTACGAGAAGTGGTTCTCTCACAAGCCCGCCCGCAGCTGCGTTGCTGTCAAGACGCTTCCCAAGAACGTTGACGTCGAGATCGAGGCTATTGCTCTGCCGTAAGCTGGGGTCTCGCGCCGAATGACATCTGGCAGACTAAGCGTCATTGTAGTGCTGATACTGAATCGCATCCTCGCCTTTGAATGCGAGTGATGCTTGCTGTAGCCTTACGCCAGTTTAAACACAACGTACGCCAACTTAGGAGCACAGAGTTCAAAACCCTCTTAAGCTACTCGATTCGAGTGAATATGTCTGACGTACTTTAAGTGTCGACGGTCCCTGGTTGGGGGCTGAAGCTGTTCATGCCGTCCATGTGAACGAAGACCGAAAGAGGGCTACTAGGACACCTGCTTGGGACATCGCATGCACATTTGGAGGTCATGTCACTGACTATGCGGACGACGCCAGAATTGCGTGATGATAGCGAATCAACACTCATTAGATGCAACACAGCAATCGTGTCAACAACGCAATAAGCGCAAGAAACCGAATGGATATGCAGCAACGTGCTCTATGTTCTACACCCCTCCTTATCGGTACACTTCCTCCAGCCAGTCCATAGGTAGTCCCCGTATCTCATGGTCAGGTCTCCTCTGGGCGTCCAATTGTTCAGTTTGGGAATCCTTTACTCTTCGTCATCCTCGGCGGCCTCAGCGTAGCGCCCACGGATGTCCTTCCATTGGCGCTGCGATTGGTTAGCAAACATGTAACCTGTGTGTCGATTCGAGATATCTTACGCCGCGGTTGAGGTGGTCCCAGTACTTGTTGGTGAGCGAGTTGAAGCCCCTGCACAATGTCAGTCGTCGTAAACTGCTGTCAGGCGTGCCAGATGGCTAGGTAGAGGGTTTGTGCCTACATCTCGAAGGCAAAGCCGGCACCGAAGACGAAGCCGAGCATGGCGAAGTTCTGCTTGAAGAACGCACTGCCGAAAATTTCAGTCAGCATCCTGTACAATTGCGCCCGTGAATGTGTCGATGTAGCAAGCCCTCCAAGCTCAGTCGTGTCGGGTATCTTCCATCCCGTGCAGTCTCTGATTCCCAGGCTCTTTCTTCATCCAACCCATGATCTCTGTGGATCCATCCCTCGTGTCGCTGCTCGTCGAAAGTTCAAGGGTAAGGCTATACTTGCGTGTAGAGAGACTTGGTGAGGCCGGCCTGTGGT